CAGCGGATCGAGACACCTAGTAGCACGAGATCCACAGTGGTCTAGCGTCGGTTTATTTTCAGCCAATGAATGAGATCGTTTGATTGGACTCCATGGATCAGTTGCATTGGCAACAATACTAGCCTCGTATCTTTCAAATCTAGGTCTAGATTCTAAATAAATACCCATAAAACCAGAAATAAGTTCGGCTACCCATGCGAACTTAACGCTTCCCATTGTTTCCATTGGAGGTCCTTAGCCAGCATCATGGAGAAGGTCGTGGCGCAGGCTCTCGCTGCCACCTTGCGTGGTCTGGACGAGACTATCCTTGAATACATCAGCGGTGCTGTAGCCGACCAGCTTGCGGACGAGGTCCCCTCCGATGCAGCAACCCTGGAAGAGCTGTTGGTCGAGAGCGTGGCTCCTTTCCTTCTGAGCACGAGCTTCTGCGAGGACGAGGAGGCCGCCTCCAAGCTTTGCGCGTCGTTAGCCTCCAAGTTGCTGGCCAGTCCGGAGCTTCAGGCGGCGGGCCCGCAAAAAGACGCGGTCCGCGTGCTGGAGAACACGCAGAGCATCGAGGAGCAGGCGCGTAAGGATGAGGGAGCGGCCGACGCCGAGCAGTTGATGGCCCGCATGTGGGGCTTCGACAAGATCCGCAAGACCACGAACGACGAGCTGGAGGCGCAGCAGTCGGCTCTGTCAGCGCGTCAGGTGCGCAAGCAGATCAAACTGGAGCAGCTGACGGCCGAGCGCGAAGAGGAGCAGGCCGAACTGGACCGCGAGTGGGAAGACGCTCGTTTCCTGCCGGATCTGACGCAGGACAACGGAGAGAGGGACATTCACGTGCCGAGACTCACTATCAACTTCAAGGGCAAGACGCTGCTGTCCGACACGGCGCTCAAGATCGTGGCCGGCCGCCGCTATGGTCTTGTGGGCAAGAACGGAGCCGGAAAAACCACTTTGCTCCGCTACATTTCTCACTACGAACTCGAGGGATTCCCGAGACATATTCGCATCCAACTGGTGGAGCAGGAGTCGGCTTCGAAGCTCAGTAAGGACGACCGCAGTGTCCTTGAGGTCGTACTGGCCGCAGACTATGAGCGCTCTATGTTGCTGCAAGAGGAGAAGGAACTGACGGCCGAGGAGGCCAATCAAGGGGCCGACCACAGTGTGAGACTCAAAGAGATCTACGACCGCCTGGTGGACATCGACTCAGACACGGCCGAGTCTCGCGCGCGCTCCATCTTGAGCGGCCTGCAGTTCCCCGACCACGTCGTGGACGGCCCGGCCAAGGCTCTTTCCGGTGGTTGGAGGATGCGTACGGCGCTGGCCGGCGCACTGTTCATGGCTCCGGACTTGCTGCTGCTCGATGAGCCCACGAACCACTTGGATCTGGAAGCTGTGATCTGGCTGGAGCATTATCTGGAGAAGTACGAGAAGCAGATGATCGTGGTGTCCCACGACCGGAACTTCCTGAACGCCGTGACCACCGACATCGTGTATTTGACCAACCAGAAGCTCACGTACTACAAGGGCGACTACAACACATTCGAGAACACGATGAAGGAGAATCTGCGTCAACAGCGCAAGGCCTACGACGCCCAGCAGATGAAGATCCAGCACATGCAGGAGTTCATCGAGCGCTTCCGGGCCAACGCCAAGAAGGCTCCATTGGTGCAGTCTCGTGTCAAGGCCCTGGACAAAATCTTACGCAACGAGCTCATCGACGAGCCTGAAGATGAACACGCTTTCCGGATGCACTTCCCGCCCCCGGAGCCACTGGGCCGACCCATCATTGCCGTCGAGGACGTGGGTTTCCGGTATTCTCCAGAGTCGTCCTTGCTGTTCAAGGACGTGCACATTGGCGTGGACATGTCGAGTCGTATTGGTATTCTCGGTGTCAATGGATCGGGTAAGTCGACGCTTATCAACATTATGATCGGCAAACTTCGGGCCACCGAGGGCTCCGTGACGATGAACCCGCGTCTGCGTGTGGCCACGTTCACGCAGCACCACGTCGACTCGCTGGACTTGTCCAAGTCCGCTGTGGAGAACATGAAGGAGCTGTTCCCTGGCCACGAATCGGACGAGTTCCGCTCGCACCTCGGCCGCTTTAACTTGTCGGGTGAGCTGGCTATTAAGCCCACGCGTACGCTGTCCGGTGGTCAGAAATCTCGTGTCGGCTTCGCGCTCATGACTTGGCGTCTGCCGCACGTTGTGGTGCTGGATGAGCCAACGAATCACTTGGATATGGAGACTATTGACGCACTCATCGACGCTCTGCGCGAGTACAAGGGAGGTGTGGTGATTGTTTCCCACGACCAACACTTTGTGCAGAGTGTGTGCGAAGAGCTGTGGGTTGTGGGCGACCAGAAGGTGGCTCGCTTCCGAGGCACGATGGGCGAATACAAGAACCGCGTGTTGACCAAGAAGTAAGTGAGTGTATTATAGACCCCCCGCGCTGATCGTAGCAGCTCGTGGGGGCTAGACCAACTAGACCGAAACAAGTAAATCACGTGCTCTCTTCTCTACTTGTTGGAAATGATTTGAAGAAAAGTTGGGACTTTTATCGCAAAGCTGACAAGATGTACACGCCTATTAACTGAAGTTCCTGGTGGTTAGCGAAAACTGGATGCCACGTGTCTTTCGAATGTATCGAGCGATAATACTACGTAGCACAGCGTTATGAAGATCGTTTGTAAGACGACGGGCAAATTGCTGCATTTGAAGCGAATCTCTGCTTAACATTGTTTCGGTACGTGAGGGCGACATGTTTGCTTCTGGAAACTCAAATCTGGATAGTCTAATTGACGCTTGGGCTGTGAAGTATAACTTGTCGTTCATCGTGAGTCTCCACGCGCATCAGGGGAGCCAGACGGCTACGAGCACAGCTCTCCTGTGACCGACCGGTATCAGCAACGTGGGTGGGGGCGAATATTCACAATCCCCTCGTGTTAGCTATTTTCCTGGCAGCGCTTCTAGGCTTGGCTTTGATGAACGAGCTACAGTCTCCAGACAACCGCACTCCCTTGCAGAATTACTACATCGAGGTGTGCAGGTAATTTCGAGGCACCGGTAACAAGTGCATTGCTTACTCGTAACTCCGTTCTTAAGGCTACCTCAAACTCTAACGAGATACCCTAACAATAAATAGGCGATGCGAGCCCTCTCAATAATTTAGCCTGATAATCTTGGAAGCGATAGAGATGACGATGAACGCGGCGACGTACCACTATCTCGATTGCAGATTGCGAGTGTGGGTAATTGATCTATTGAACTGCAAAGTCCAGTACGTGGTGACGCACTTTCGATTCGTTTTGGAGACGATGTTCTATCTCCATACATTGGTGACAATGTTGGTGAGAGAAGGCGTGCAGGGTTGTCCGTACTCATACTTTTGCGTTTGGTAACGCCAGTCTTGGTACTGTTGCCAGATTCAGATTCGCCCATGAACGCTCTTACCAAGTCCACGCCGTAAATCTCTTCTAAACATTTATCGCGACTTGAAAATAGCGCATCTTTCAAGAGCTGTGCAGCGCCGTTGCCTCGGTTGTTATTGCTTGCTGCAGGATCATCCGAGTCTTTACCGCGACGTCGAGATTCTGCTTGGAATCGCCGCGATTCAGCGATCAGCCAGTCTGCATCCACATTCTCTGAGATATTGACAACCAAGATAGGGGCCGCAGATACTGTATCCTCCACACCGTAGCTGGTACTTCCAGAGCGATTATTATCACGTGCGAAGACCTCTATCCTCCCGTCATCAGTAACCGTAACACTTTTCAGACCATTCAAGCCATTAGTGGTGCTCTTACTGGGGATAAGCGTCTCAAGTCCTTTAGCCACAACACGAACACCATCAAGCGAAACGCAGTTATGACGAAGATCAATTTCTCGAATTTTGGCCATATTGATCTCGACATTGACAAGTCCAACCACCAATTTCTTAAGAAACACAAGTAATCGACCCATCCCCTCGCTTGTAATTCGGTTGTAGCGCAAATCGACGCGTTTCAGCCTTCCCAGACCTTCACTGTCCAGCACCTTCAAAATTGGTCGCAAATCATCATCTACAAGCCAGCACTCGCGCAGTTCCAAGCAGTCCGAAGAAGGCCAAACTATACCGTTTGAAGATACAGCTTTACCAAATATGTCTGCATACTTATTCACGAGCTTCGACTTGGCAGTTTGCAGGGTATGAAATTCTGTTGTTAGTTCCGTGAATTTCTCCGCCAGTCTCTGTCTTTTGTCTTGAATTTGCTTCTTTTGTCCCAGACATTCGAGAACATTACTCTCGCTTTGCCGACGTAGTGCTTCAAGTTGGTCTCTCATTAACGTCTTCTCCAACTCCAATGCTGCTCGGGCTTGAGACTCGCGATTGACATCTTTAACAAGTCGATGGATTCGCTCCCTCTGCTCGAGTGTAAGTGCTTCTTGTGCACTTAAAAGCTGCCTAGTTTCTCGATTTCTCAGCTCTTGTTGCTTTTCTAACGCCACTCTTTTAGTTATTGCTTCCTTCATTTCCTCTAGCTGTTTCTGTAGTCCTCTGATCTCATTCTTTGCTCCAATAAGGATTTTACTCTGCTTCTCAAACTCTTGAAAATCACTAGCCTTTTGTGAAGATAACTGCGTCTCTAGCTGCTTTTTACAGCCCAGAGAATCTCGCAACACCCGCTCAAGCTCCTGCATCCGACACTGCGCAGCCATTAACTGTTCTTCAGCGTTTTCACGACGATCAACTGCTTCATGCAGTCGAGTCTCAACATCCTGTAACTTTAGCGTTAGTTCGTACTGCTTATTGCGTCGCTTTACCAGTTCTCCTTGCAGCTTTTCGATCTCCATTTGATGATTCAGATGTGAAGACGACAATTCCTCCTGCAAAAATTTTCGTTCTCGGTGGAGTTTTTCCTGTAAGGCACCCACCGCTGAGGCCTTTTCCTCTGCCTGTCTCGTTCGATGCAGAACTTCCACTTCGCTCTCGGCTGAACGTTCAATGTGGTCCCGATGCGAACTGCGAAGCTGCTCACACTCTCGTTCTCTGTCGTCGAGTCTGGCTTTAAGTTCTTCAGTATTTCGCTCCTGAGCCTCAAGAGCTTGCAACAATTTCTCGTTCTGGGTCGTAGCAATCTCCATGGCCTTTTCACGGCCTTCTGCCTGACTGCGACTCACCTGCAGAGCGTCAATTTCTGCCTCCAATCGATCAATTTTACGTTGTCGTCGCACTATATCGTTCTCCTTAGAGATGACATTTCTCTGTAATTGCTCCAGTGCAGCTTCCAGTTCATCAAGTTGCACTCGTAGCTGGTCGTTCTGACCTGATAACAGCCAAACTTCTCGAGTTTTGGCCTCAATCGCATCGTCTCGTAGGCGAATTAACTGGTTTTCATGGAAACTTCGAGGCGAAAGGCACGCGTCTGCCTTCTCTGGTTGCAATTCCTCAACGTTCTTCTCCAACCGACGAATAACTCCTTGATGTCGATCGATTTCTTTTCTCAGCTGCTTCTCCTTCTCAATCGCTACTGTAAGTTCTCCATTCTTCTTAACCAACGTTTGCTCTCTCGAATCCAACGCAGCACAAACCATAGCGAAGTCCTCTTCGTCTTTCTTCACCTGTTCACGAAGCTCCTCCATCTGAGCACTCACTTTGTGCATCCTTGTTTCCATTACTTGAGTCTCGTTCGTCTTGGCGTCAAGTCTCATCGTCAACGTGTTGATTTGTTCAAGTAACTCATCGACATATTCGGTCTTCCGGGCTAGTAGAATTTCCTTAGCATTAATCTCGGCAGCCTGTTTCTCTGCTAGTAACTTGAACGCTTGAGCGGCGTCATCCAAGTCTACAATAATCAGCGTTAACTGTTGAATCCGAGCTTGAACTGCCTCCGAATCGTGCAGATCCAGCTCTTCCACATTCTCTTCACCTCGATCATCCGACATCAACGCAAAGTTATTGATACCGTCCCAACAGGTCGGATCTAAACTAACGGTCGCTCGATGGCGTTCTTATTATTCACGTGGGTGGTGCTTCTTCTCTTAGCTTTCCCATCAGCGCAGTCTCTTGTGGTGACGGAGGCAAATTGTTCTATCGCGGATGAGGCACAGAATGCATCGGTGAGGTTGGATTGGAACTTATTTGATGGCGACGTCACGTACACGAGAGTTTCTCACTCGAGTGAAGCTCTACTAGCAGCTACTTCCTCTTTATCTGATCGACTTTTGATCCTCGGGGGTATCGAGTACGAGTCCGCTCAACCTGTAGTCGACAGCCCTGTTCTAGTCTACCATATCGCCTCCAATACGTTCCTAAAACCTCAGGACCAAATCCTCTCGGCCGTGTCTGTAGCGTATCAATCTTCTACAATTGAGACTGTGTTTACGTCCCCAGCAAGTCGAGCTGAACACGCCTCGTTCATTAACCAAGACGGAGCTGTATTCATATTTGGAGGACGCAGTCGAGAGTTTGTCAACGATACGTGGCGGGTGTGTGTGGATTCCAGCTCAACTAACGTGATTTGGGACGAATTGGTCACTGCTACTGACGCTACTACCGTCTTAGCGACTCCTGTACCTCGTATCGGTCATTCCTTCACCAAAGTATTCGAGAACAGCACTATGATCGGTGCTCTAGTGTTTGGAGGTGTATCAGAGGCCTACGTAGAGCTGAGTGGATTGCATCTAGCCTTTATTTCCAAAACTTCTTCAGCAGCGTGTACAAACCGAGGACCAAAACTCGTCTGGAGAATGCTTAAAGCTGGACCATTAACGGATAATGGTCCAGTTCCAACAGCTCGAGCGTATCATGCCGCCATGACATCGTCGAAGATCTTCACGTCTTCGAAGCTTAATTGCTTGATTGTCCACGGGGGTAAAAGTACCATCGAAGGAGTGATTTTCAATGAACTATGGAGGTTATGCCCATTGATACCTGTGGTATCTGTGCCAGTGGAGAGGATGAACTATACGTGGGAGCTTCTAACGGAGATCGGGACGACACCCGGTGCTCGCTATGGAGCGAGCATTTCGTTCGTAGATGAAGGGAAACTCGCTCTCGCTGGAGGTTCCTACACGTTTCCAAGCGATTTTTTGAGCGACACGTGGGAACTCAACGTGAATGCGACGCAGTGGATCCGTCTCTCCTTCTCCGAAGACTACACTCCTCCACGTCGAGGCCACACGCTCTCGTTCTTCTCAACTGCTACACGGCTTTTTCTATTCGGCGGTAGAGATCGCTATGCCGTCGTCAAGAAGAGGATGCAAGCTGCGTATTACGGCGCTCCGTTCTGTGCTTTGGGTCTCAAGATCACGTTTTGTACTACAACGTCCAAGTACGTCTGCATCGCGTGTCCTGCCGGTTCTTATCTGGAAAGCGGGTCCCGTAAATGTCTGCAGTGTCCGCAGGGAACTCTTTCGTCGGCTGGATCGTCTGAGTGCACGAAATGTCCAGCTGGGACGTTCAGTACTGAAGTAGGTAAAGACAGCAGTTCGCCTTGCACTTCATGTCCGTCAGGGACTTTTTCTCAAGCTGTAGGTGCCGTATCAAGCGCAGCGTGCATTGCGTGTACAGCTGGCACATACACGGTATCCGCTGGATCAGTTTCTTGCTCGAATTGTGCGGCTGGAACATTCTCGATCGCCAATGCGTCGACGTGTACGATGTGTGCTAAAGGCAAATACAGCGGCGTTGGGGCTGGGACGTGCAGTGACTGTGCTGCGGGTACGTATGCTCCAAGTACAGGCTCGACTGCATGTTTCTCGTGTCCAAGAGGATATTACAGCAACACTGGCGACGTCGCGTGTTCAGCTTGTTCAGTAAACACTTACAGCTCTGCAGTGGGTGCATCAGCTTCAGATTGTCAGGCGTGTCCGTCGTACGCGTTCACAACGTCCTGTGGTCAAAGTTGGTGTAAAATCTGTCCACCAGGGTCAACGTGGACTGGAAATGCGTGCCAGTTGTGTAGTAAAGGGTACTACGCATCGACAGCTACCAATGGAGCGTGTGTTGCGTGTCCAAAAGGGTCCTACTCTTCGGATTTTGGCTCAATTCAGTGTCAAAACTGCCCGACGGGAATGTTCACGAGCAATACGGGAGCGACGAACTCAAGCGACTGTCAACTATGCGCCAGTGGAGCATTCTTCAATGGAATGGTATGTCAGACTTGCGGGGCTGGAACGTATCCTGAGCCGAGTGGATTCTGCTCGCCTTGTGTTCCGGGTAGCTATAGCTCCGGCGGAGTGGCCAGTTCTGTAGATACCTCACTTGGTTGCGCTTCCTGTCCGTCGATGAGTTACAGTGGCGCTGCAGCCACCGGTTGCTCTGCATGTGCTGACAATTCTTACTCCATGGAAGGATGGAGGGCCTGCGTGTCCTGTACGTCATCACCCGGTTGCGTTACTGGTCGCAACGGTCTCTTGTGTGCTGGGAACGGAGATTGTGTGTACGGAGGCTGTTCCTGTTACTCTGGATGGGTAAGTGGTGATTGTAGCGTACCCGTCGATAATACTGTGTCAACACAAGCAGCAATCTTGTACTTCCGCGATGCGCCATTTCAGCTGGTCAATATGTCGTCATTAAGCGATATTCAAGTGAAAGTTGCTCGATCTGGGACCCTCACCTCACAGTTGCAGGCAGTTATCACCTGCAGCTCGAGTAATTTCTCTGTCGGACCGTCGTCGCTGCCCATAACGCTTGACTTCGCTTCGGGCGAATCCTTTAAGACCGTCAAAATCTCGACTGCGCAGCTCTCACCGAGAAACGGATGTCGATTTTTCACTTTGGCATTGAGAGACGTCACCGGAGCAACTACAAGCGCTGTATCGACCGATGCGGACAGTGTCTTGACCGTGTATGTTGACGATATGAACGGTGCATCAGGTGGAGTGACCGGAAGAGCTGTAACTTCGACGTATTCACGACAGATCAATGGTACTGCGATAGCTGCAGTGACGTTGGATCGTCTGGTGACGACACAGGTGACGATTTCTCCTCAGACCGCAGTATCACTACGAGATCTTCCCTTGAATTTGCTGGTTGCTATCGATTTCTCCGCTTCTTTTGTCTCTGCCTTCATCGATTTGCTGCCTGCGATCGTCGCTCAGCTTCAAATTGTCTACCGAGCAGCACCCGATGGCGTTCGATTGGGTCTGGTGAATGGCATCAAGCCAGCCGCAACATTTTACACTGATCTCGTGGACTTCTTTAATGCTGTTCAAGCGCTCGCTGTAAGTGCAGGGAATACTTTCGTTGATTGGGACTGGATAGCAGCAGGTTTAGTGGCTGGGTCGTCGTCGTGGCCATCAGCAGATCGTCGACATTTCCTCATCGTTGCAGGCGACACTCTTGTTGCTGGATCTGCCACTTTTCCGTCAGTATTGCTGAACTTGTTGCGCTCTCAAAGCGTCTTCGCATTTACTCTTTCTCCAACGCAAGTAACTTTTTCCACTGGAAGCGACGAGATGAAAAGCGTGGCGTATGGTACGGCACCAGCGATTCCTACAGCACTACGCCAAGCTTTTGAGCAAAAGGATAATGCTCTTCCCTCGAGTCTGAACATCCTCAACGATCCAGCTAAACTTGCATCTGCTGCGCAAGTAGTAGGATTCTCCAGTGGCACAAACTCCCTCCCAGTCCTTCGCATCACTCTGGAACCTTTTTCAACGCCATCACAGGTTCAGACTGTCACGATTGGTGTACCTGGCGGGGTCTTGCTTTCCATCACATTGAACGAACCTGGCCACGCTTGCTTTCCGCCAATACAGACGACCCCTGTCGACTCGGTTCCGTTGAGTGGTTGGGCGGATGCGTGGCATCTCTCCAGCTTGAACGACATCAAGCGTCTCTGGAAGACTGCGGGGCAACTGGCGATACATCAAGACACGTCGCTCCTGCGTAAATCAACCAGCACAGTTTTGTCAGTCTACGACCCAACATCAACGCAGATCAACTTGGTGAGGACGTACCCGGGCTCCTTCTTTGCTGCTGGGTTGACCTTAATCTCTCGTGGATATTGGAGATCTTCCGACAGCAAGACGGCCTGCGATATCCAGCTCACTATGATCGGCACCAACATGAGTCTGCAGTCTTCCAGCAGAGTTCCGTACGCCTCTCATGTCGCCCCAGATGAATGGAACTATGGATACTTGCGGTCCAGTATCTCTTGGGAACTGAGCAGCCTAATCGTCGCTCTGAAATGCAATACGTCATCTCCTGGAGTGGCAGTCGAATGGGCGGCACTTGGGTTGCTTCCTGATCCAGACTTTGCTTGTATGTGTCCTCGTGGCTTCTATCACGGCTCACTTTCTGACTCGAACGATGAAGACGGATCCTGTATACGCTGCGCTGCGGGTTCATTCTGCACTGCGGGGATCAAGCGGCAGTGTCCGGACGGCACATTTTCTTTCGGTAAAGCAGCATCATGCGAGACGTGTCGGGATGGCTGGATTTGCACCGACGGACTGGCACGACTCTGCGATCCAGGAACGTACTCGACGCCTTCATTCACCTGTGGAATCTGCCCGAGAGGATACGCGTGTCGGAATGGGAAGAAGTCAGTGTGCCCAGTCGGCACGTTCTCGCTCAAACAGGCTAGCGAGTGTCAGAGCTGTCCTCCAGGCACTATATCTCGCTCGGAAGGGTACGTATCAACGCATAATCAGTCAGTAGAATGACAAAGTACTAACCTGTGCTCCTAGGTCATCCACGTGCGAACTCTGTCCACTTGGATGGACATCCAATTACCAGCGCAACCACTGCATCTCCTGTCCGCCCGGTGAAGCCACTCTATACACAGGACAACATCCATGTTCCTCCTGCGTTGCTTCGGCCTTTCCGATCCGCAACCAACCCGAGGTTTGCCTCGTATGAACGATGTCTGCAAGTACATAAGCGTGTCTATTTATTAGTCATTTAGCTCACACACGCGCTACGAAGGCAGCCACACGCTGCTTAATGTCGCTTGCAGACCTGTCGACAGACCACACGTCAGGATAGATTGTACCAGTTACGCCTACAAACAGCAGTCCAACCTCTGAGCTCGAAGTACCACGGCCTCATTGTTCGCTGGCTTGTGCACGTCTGAGTAATCGGGGATGATCCGTTGACCACGTACGTCGTCGCGGCTCTTCCCTTCCGCAGCCGTCTTAGCGACGTCAACTTTCATCGAGACGAGGTCACTCAGACACTCGCGAATACGCTTCTCTGCGTCAAACTCCTCCACCAACGTGGCCAGTTCATAGTGAGAACTGCAGCACAAACAGCATCATTATTAAAGACCAATAGAAACAATATGCGTGTAAGGTGATGACCCTACCTGTCCACGGATCCAACGGTGCCGTCAGCCGAAACATGACCACTCTCGACGAGTTGAAGCAGCTCATCCAGAGCATAAAGCTTGATGAAAAAAGTATACACCGTGATTCCAGCTCGACGAGATGACTCACGCATGTAATTCTTGCCCAAGCCTCGAACTTGCTTGTCAGTGTACACAGCTTCACCGTTCGGGAGGTTAATCTTCGCCTTGCCTTCAGCAGCTATAAGTTCCGCGCGAGCATCTGAATAAAACAATTAAGGTACATGAGTTGAGCTGGACCAACGCATGCAAGAACAACATAGCCCACTTTTCATGTACTGAATGATCTCCGGACGTAAAATGGCTGCTTCGATGTGTGTGCGCTTGGACTTATTACGCGAACGGAATTTATCTTCGTTACGAAGTACAGTGAACACGCTGCTAGCAAGCACCCACCTAGTGTACAACAACATCATTCTTCTTTGTTAATAATCCATAGCAATAGGAAATGATTGCCCAACTTACCCTGGAGAAATCTCATTGATCGCAGGCGAAAGCGACGGGATGGAGTGACCTGGCGTGTTAATCAATGCGAAGGGCATTGCCACTAGCTGTGGCAGTGTATTAACCGCAGTAGCGATCACCGAATACGGGGCCTTCACAAAATTACTGGGGAATTTCACATTGCATCCAAGTCCAAAGAAAACACCTTCACCGTGGAAAAGTTCCTGATCAGGAGCCTTCAGTGTGTGATTGCTGCCCACATTCGCTCCATAGCCGACGTTGCCTTTACCCTGTGGCCAGATCGAGGCAATCAACAGTGCCTGGTGGTGGAACCCCACAAAAGGCCCCACAAAGCTCGACGTGACTTCACCTTCAGCAATCGAAGTGTTGGGTCCAATCACAGAGCTCATGACAACTCCATGACGCTCCACGTGCGACGTATCACACAAGAATGAGCCTTCAACCACACTGAGCGCCTCGACTGTCGAATTCCACTGCACGATAGAGTCACGGACGATGCTCTTGGCTCTGATAACAGATGGCTCGTCTTGTGTCGATAGTAGCGTGGAATTCACGACGTCGCTGTCCTCCACGACTGCATATCCACCCACAAACGTCCCCTGTACTCGGGAACAGCCACGTACTCGCGCATTCTTCGCCACAATGGCCATTGGAGCTTTCAATGCTGCCACATAATTGTCCACAAAGGTCTCGTAGGTCTTCAAGAAGTCAGGATCTCCTCTCCTAGTAGCAACTGCAGCCCCCAGTGCAAAGGGGAGATCTGCAACCACACGGAGGTTGCGACCGCCGGTTTCCACTCCAACGTGGAGTAAATTCCCATTGGCAGAAACTGCGTCTTCCTCTGGCCCCGTGACGCTGCCGCATTTGATGACAGACGCTTGAGTGTCCACGAGGACGTCTCGAAGGACCAGAGTGTCCCTCACTAACGAGTCGTCGAGCACCACCACGTTGCTCAATGCAGAGTTGTAGACACCACACGGGAATGGGATGCCGTCCACGTTATGGTTGAAAGTGGAGAAGCGACCGAGTACAACTTTCCCATGGAACGAGCACTGGCGGATGCGCGAAGTCTGTAGCGGAGTGTGCGCATAGGTCTTATAAACATTGTTCCAGCTCTCAGCTATAGGCAAATTGACATAGGGCATCAGATTGCTGAAGTTAATTATAACAATTGAATTACGAACCGCAGTTGCCGTTCGCTTCCAGAGCGCGGATCTCGCCGTCGGAGAGCGAGTAGAAGGCGCTGGAGAATATGTCACGACAGGACTGCACGTAGCGTACGTGATCGGAGGTTAACAACGCCCAGAGATCATGCTCAGACGTGTAAGCACCGCGCTCTTCGTACGGCATGGTGGCAGGCAATGCGGTTTTAACGTGGTAACAACATTTCCATCCTAGAATAATGGGTGCAACTTTGCTCGTCCTCACTTGATCTTTGTATTCATTCAGTCGCAGTTTTATACGGATCGAATTAATTCTATGTTTTCTACACCATATTTACGTGCTGATTACGTGGGCTACATAACTTGCCGTTTTTTTTGGCGGGAACACCACTCTTTGATCCTGCCGCTCAAGTCACCACTGGATCATGACGGGTCTCAAGCGCGAGTCCCCTCCTAGCACCTCCGTGGAGCCCAAGAAACCGCGACTGAGTGCTCATGGCGCCAAGTCTGAGCCCTCTACATTTGCGGACGACCTGGAGAATATGGTGCCTATCTCCACGAAGGCCAGCTCGTGGCCTCGCAAGACCATGGCGCCTGTAGACCCGAGTGCGGACTCTGTGGCGTTCCAATGGATCGACATCGACATGTATGATGGTCCTCCACTCAAAACGAATCCGAAGAAAGGGGCACCTGTGCCTGGACTCAAAGCTTCGGGCGATAACAGCCAAAATGCGGCAATTATCCGCCTGTATGGCGTCACTATGGAAGGCCACAGCGTCCTCATGCACGTCCACGGCGTGCTGCCCTATTTCTATGCTGTCTGTCCCGATAACTTTGACGAGAGCAAGTGTGGCGAAGTACGAGCAGCTCTAGACGCAGCAGTGAGCCAGCGAGACAGAGACAGCAGCAGCAATGCTCGCGTTGTGGGCGTCCAGGTCGTGAGGGACAAGATGTCCATCTATGGCTACCAATTCGACCGCATCACGACTCTATTCAAGATCTTCTTGAGTATGCCCAGCTACGTCCCGAAGCTCAGGAGTGCACTGGAAGGAGGACTCACCTTACCAGGCTGCGACTTCCGCAACTACCAGACATACGAGAGCAACGTGCCATTTATTCTCCGATTTATGATTGATGAGGAGATTAGAGGTTGCAACTGGGTGGAAGCCCCCAAGGGAACGTATTCTGTACGCTCTGCGGCTCAGAAGAAGTCGCTGTGTCAACTGGAGATCGACATCACGTACGACAACCTCATGAGCCACGCACCCGAGGGAAAATGGGGCAAAGTGGCGCCGTTCAGGATCTTGAGCTTTGATATCGAGTGTATGGGCAGGAAGGGCCATTTCCCAGAGGCAGAGCAGGACCCAGTGATCCAGATCGCTAATGTTGTGCAGGAGCAGGGATCCCATACGCCAATTATCCGAAATGTGTTCGTGCTGGACACGTGCAAACCCATTGTGGGCGCTCATGTGATGGAGTTCGAGAAGGAAGGAGATATGCTGGAGAAGTGGGCTCGCTTCGTACAAGAAGTGGACCCGGACATCATCACGGGCTACAATATCGCCAATTTCGACATCCCATACGTACTTAACCGCGGTAAAGCGCTCAAGCTGCAAAACTACAATCTCGTTGGCCGCTTGGCGAACTCGTACGTATCGTGTTATGCGCATATCCAGTATTATCCTGTTTAGTTAACAACCTGAATATGTTACACTGCACTTACAGGGCGGCATATATGGAGAAGAAAACCTTCAGCTCAGCGCAATATGGCAAGAGTGAAAACGTCAAGACGACGATCCACGGACGCTGCATGTTCGATCTGCTGCCAATCATGCGTCGCAGTCAGAACTTGAGTTCGTACTCGCTGAATGCCGTTAGTGCCGCGTTCCTTGGCCAGCAGAAGGAAGACGTACCCCACGGAATCATCAGCGACCTGCAGCGAGGAACGGACGATGATCGCCACCGTCTTGCAGTCTACTGTCTGAAGGATGCGTACCTGCCACTGCGACTACTGGACAAGCTCTCGTACCTCGTCAACTTTATCGAAATGGCGCGTGTGTCTGGCGTTCCGATTGACTTCCTGATCGAACGAGGACAGCAGATCAAGGTGTTTTCTATGCTTCTGCGCAAGTGCAAGGACGCTTCACTCGTTGTGCCGACACTGCCTCGATCGCAGAACAACGAAGATGCGGGATATGAAGGCGCCACGGTTATTGAGCCCAAGAAGGCCTTCTACTCGGTGCCCATTGCGACACTAGATTTTGCCTCGCTGTATCCGTCGATCATGCAGGCTTTCAACTTGTGTTACTCAACACTCGTAGCGCCTGGAGATGTAGACAAACTAGCCCCGGGTGACTATGAGAAATCTCCATCGGGCGATATCTTCGTGACTAGCAAGAAGAAGAAGGGAATCCTGCCGCTGATCTTGGAGGAAGTGCTGGCAGCTCGTAAACAGGCAAAGCGAGACATGAACGCGGCCACAGATCCGATGGAGAAGGCTGTGCAGAATGGTCGACAGCTGGCACTGAAGGTGAGTGCTAACTCTGTGTATGGCTTCACAGGCGCAATTGTTGGCCAGATGCCGTGTATCCCCATCGCGTCCAGTACTACCGCTTATGGTCGTCAGCTGCTCTTCCGAACACGAGAAGAAGTCGAGCGTGTGTACACTATTGCGAATGGTTACAAGGCGGACGCTCAAGTGGTGTATGGTGATACGGACTCCGTTATGATCAAATTCGGTGTCGACACAGTGGAGGAAGCCATGCCGCTCGCCGAAGAGGCCGCCAAGCGTGTGTCCGACATCTTCCCGAACCCAATCAAGCTTGAATTCGAGAAGGTTTACTTCCCATACCTGCTGATGAACAAGAAACGGTACGCTGGTTTGCTCTGGACGAAACCTGAAAAATACGACAAGCTGGACTCGAAAGGTCTGGAGACTGTGCGTCGCGATAACTGTTTACTGGTGCGCCGTATGGTCGATACTGTGCTGCGCAAGATCCTCATCAACCGCGACGTCCCGAGTGCCATCTCGTACACGAAGAACATCATCTCAGATCTGCTGCAGAACCGTATTGATATATCACTGTTGGTCATCACGAAAGGCTTGAAGAAGACTGTGGACCAGGAAGACTATAAGGTCAAACAAGCCCACACTGAGTTAGCGGAACGTATGCGCAAACGTGACCCGGGATCGGCCCCAGCACTGGGTGAACGTATTGCGTACGTGATTATCGACAAGGGTAAAGCCACGCCGTTATACGAGAAGGCTGAGGACCCAGTGTACGCTCTGGAGAACAACATCCCAATTGATTGCGACTACTACATGAAGCAGCAGCTGCAGAACCCGCTCGAGCGTATTTTCGAGCCCATTATTGGTTTGAGTAAGGTCAAGTCGGATCTCCTTAACGGTGCTCACACCCTCAAACGTTCCAAGCCCGTGCTGAAGCAGAACAGTGGCGGTATGATGAATTTCGCTGTCAAGAAGCTCAAGTGTCTGGGTTGCAAGGCGCCACTGAATGGGAAGGGCGCTCTGTGTCGCAGTTGTGTGGAGCGAGAGGCGGAGGTTTATTCGCGCCAACTTGAGTCGGTCAACGAACTGGAACACTTGTTTGCTCGACTGTGGACGCAGTGCCAGAACTGCCAGGGAAGTCTCCACCAAGACGTTTTGTGTTCCAGTCGCGACTGCCCGATCTTCTACAAGCGTATTAAGGTGCAGAAAGACCTCGGGGAAGCTCAATCATCATTGGAACGTTTCCAATCCGTGGACTGGTAAGGTGTTTGATTTAGGCTAGTTACGTATGCTCGTGTATTTTTTCATTGCTGGTAAGAAATACAATCCTTGCAAATAATGAAACCAAGATGAAAGAAATACGCAGGTATGGATTTGAAACTTTTTTAAATTGTGCTATTTTAATTCGAGCAGCACTTTTGAAATGCAGATTGTTGTTTGGCACTGAAGGTGTCCATCGCGTCAGCTAAGTAAGATAGAACATTGAGCGGACTTGACTTCTGCAGAACACAACAATATGCTCTCTACTGGTTGCAGTTCTGCCCTCTAGTTGTTTTATCGAAGAAATAAAATCACGCCAGTCCACCGTGGGCCAAGTTCGAACTCCGAGGATCTTAGTAGGATTCGTTTGACGTCTACGCGTGGACGTCAGACGAAGTGCCTCTATCGTCAGAAATAACGATCATGCAGACCCACAAGAGTAACGAGGTAACTGGGCATGGGGACAGACCATGCACCAATGCGCTGCTAATGCACTACTAAGTAGGACCACCGTGAAGCGATACTAGTTTCTGGCGTGACACACTGGATTCAGATCCGGAGCATTCCGTTCGTCAATATTAGTTGAAGCAATCTTAACACAAATAATAAAGTCTTAACACAAATAATAAAGGCCATCCAAGTTGAAGCAATCCTGTCAGGCCTGTCGCCATTACTTAGCTCAATAATAAAGCGGCGACTCGAGTTGCGCAAGCTGCATCCTAAGCCGTTTTTTCCGGTAAGAATGGCCGCTCAACGCGTTCGCGGAAAGGTAACGGAAGTACCTGGACGATGGCCGGATAATTGCGGTGGATCAAGTAGTGAATCCATTCAACCTTCCATAGCTGATGTCTTCCAGTCATAAGTACAACGCCGTTGCCGCAACAACCGGCCAACACGTTCGTGTTCAGCAGAAACATGCAAGATCTAGAAATAGAATTCATGCTAATTCCGCCCATCCCCCCACAGCTTCGTCCTAAAAATCTTCTTCATTCTACAAGCTGCCGTCTCATTCAGATCGCTCTCCATGGCGACGCCCACACTGCGTTGCGACCAGAGCCACTACACTGTGCGCATCCCACCGCCGGTCCCAATCGCGTTCGCTACGACGCGGCCTGCGCAGCAGTGGACAGTGACAAACAATCATCTACGAACAGAGCCCGTTTCCATATTTAGAAAAGCTACAGATCTCGACTACTACCCCATACTGCCCAAGATCTCGTCGCTCCTAAAGAACAGCAGTACCAACGGAGAGCCAAGGAATCTACAATGTCGAATTGACAAAGAGACCATGGAAATTCGCAAGCGGAAACTACCGAGGCCTTTACTGAACTACGAGCCAGGTGTAATCAGATCTCCACGCATCGTCATGGCCACGCAACAGCGAGAGGGTAGATCACAGGAGCCACGAGCACGCTGTGTCTCTCCATCAGCTCTTGACTGGGACTACCACACGCCTCTGTCTGCAGCGCGAAATATGCCCACCACTGTCAACATCCCCACCGTCTCAAGTGATGTCTACCAAGACGGACGAGCGGCAACTCCTGTGTCCCGTACAGAGGTGACACCACCGCTCTCGTCTACCCCGGTAATGCATCAAGGGCGCAGTGACATCATAGAACGTCGTCCGTTGTACCAGCACGAGATCCACACTCCAGCCGAGATTCCGGTCCTTCCTCGTTACCACGAGACCCACTCAAAGAGAACCAATAGGACTCTCAAACCACACACATACCCAGTTCCAGTTCACTATACCCGACACGAGGAAGAGATCGAGACGAATACTCAGAAACGACGTCGTGTGACTCCCTCTCCTCGTCACCCTCTGTACGAGTCCGAGTACGGCCTGACTGTCCTAGAGACTTCCAAGCCGCTGATGCATTCACGTTATCCTCTTAGTATGCGGTCTATTAGTCCAGGAACGGACGACCCAGCGTCTCGATTGCGCTACATCCGATCCGACTCGAATGATTTCGACAAAGTCAGCGCGTCAATCTCTATCCGCTACAACGAGGGCGAAAAGGGATTGAGAACAACTGAGATACGAGCTCCACGCACTGCGGAAGATCGGGAGTCTACGTCCATAGCGACATTGGTGCTGAAATCCAAAGAGTTTCTAAATTCCAGCAACCTCGTACGCAATCGTCACGATGAGATTGACTGGGTTGCAACGTTTCTAAAGGTTGGCTTCGACTCGACGAGTATCTACGCGCTCATGTGTCCCCTTCGCAAAGGCCGCTGGAAATCCGAGGAAGAAAAGTACACGATGGGGTTGCTACGTCTCATTGAGAACGGTACGATTCTCCTACGTCATGGCCAGAGTATTCGTGGCTACATTGGCGAAAAGCTACACAGCGACGACATGCGTGTACTAAAAAAACTGAGTAATTGCAAGATGTTCCACTTCGCCAAGCTCATCAATCCGAGGCTCGCAGAGGAGGAGAAACTCGACTTGAACGTGGATGGTGCTCAAGAAAAGCTGGACCAACTTGATCTACTCAAGGGCGAATTCCTACGTTCTGTGCAGCTAGAGGCGCTTGTAGCAGTACGCAAACATCTCAGCGATAACTCCCTACGCGAGTTACTCAACGTACGTGTATGAAGATTGACACAAAACATTAATACTAACTCTAATATATCGATATAAAGACCCATGACGAGTATGCATTGTGCGTTTCCGCTGCGTAACAGTACTTCCAGTCAAGCGGCTTCCTGCTTCGTCGCATGTCTACATATAGGTATTCCTGCCTTCTGTTGTGGATAAAAGCGTTCAAACGCAATGTGCATTTGGCCTTCCATCTTGGTTTCAATTGCAATATCTTAATGAAGCGAGCTGAAGGTGTCATTAAAAGCGACGAGGTGGATCCATCTGGACTGCGTAGATGCACATTCACAGTGCAGATTGATGCCGCAGTGGAACATGGAGCGTTTGAAGCACCAGGCTTCCGCTTTCGCTTCCTTGATGGCTCCAGAAAGCAGACGAGTGCCATTGGCTCTGGCCATGGATGGACACGACTTCAAGACAATGAGGCATCGGAATCTTCAGAATGTTTCCGCTTTGAGCAGAGTTATCCTGATGTTGCAGTCTCCGAGTCACTCGCGATGGCTGTAGATGAAGACCCAATTTTGTCATTTTTTCTGTTTGATCACCCTGGTCTCGCGAATACTGGAACCACTCCACGTACACAGGGGAAGGAAGTTAAGCCTTCTACTGCAAAAGCACCCGCCGCAGCTGCACCAGTACCGAGTTTACCAGTTGAATTTACTCCAAAAGCGTTTGCAGGGATCTACGAAATGGACGTCAGTAGTCTGCTCTCAGGTGCACTTCGCATCAAGCAGGTGTGGACCGGCAACGTCCAGTCTGGGAACGAGACACAACTGCCTACCCAAAGTCTCTGCTTGATACCGTCAACATCTGGTCTTAAATACCTCTCCATCCAGGTTACTGTAGATCAACCATTGCTGACAGGAGGACTACTGAAAAAACTTAACCCTATCACGATCACTATCGGAACGGGACGTCGATTGCCTGGAGCAGTGAGCCAAGGGATCGGAACGAGATCGCCACACTCACCTCTTCATCGCTACTGCAAACCAGCCTTCGCTTTGATACATTTCTTCCAAGATCAGCTCCATAGCGTAGCAACGAATTCCTCCACTCCCAGATCTCGTCACTCTGTACCCCGGCTTTTGTTGACTCCAGGACAGCGCCAGGTAAGCGATAGTTACTTCCAATTCACCAATTGCCTCTCTAACTCCATGTTGTCATGTCAAGAGCGATACGATACGATGGAACTCGAGCTTGACGCTGCTCTGTGGTCGCTTCAACCCCTTGGAACTCATTGATGCCATTCGATTTGGAGCGCTTACCGTGGAGATTCGAGATAGAGACTTAAAGCAGGAGGGAACACTGGCACGATTCCAGTTAAAGTGGGAGAGTTTGTACACCACAGGCGTGGATCCTGGCGAGCAACAGCAATTTAACCCGATCACGTCTCGTAGCACACCTCGCAGCGACGCAGACCCTGGAAGTCCTGCCCCCACAGCAGCTAAACCGATGGACCTGCCAGAAGTGGACGAAATTGCGCGTAGTGATTGGAGACTAATGCTCGCAAATTCCGGTCGACTGTTTCCATACGGACTGGGCACTTTTCGCCTTACGGAGCTTCTCAACACGGCAAAGCAGTGGATGGGTGGGATGCAAGCGGACAGTGACAGACCGTACATGACTCTAAAGCTCACAACAGACATTATCTCCAAGAAGCGGCGTGCGAGTCCACTTGGAACTGCCACGTTGAGTGAAGAAAGCGAGCTCCCAGCAACAGTTGACTTGTCACCACTAGAGAAAGTCATTCGTGAGCCTGGTGCCTATATCTCCACTGGTGCCTCACTCAGTATCAATGTAGTGCTACAATCTCCAATCGAAACAGTCGGCACAGATTCAGTTGGGGTGCAAACCACGCCGATCGACACTGAGATTCCATCCCCCGAAGATGCCAAGACTGCCTTGAAATTCTCTAGGATGGCCGTGATCATTCCTTACAAAGACAACGCTACACTTGGAGAGGTGACAAAAGCCATGACGACCGTCAACTTGCAGGCACTTCCTGGTGTCCCGATTCGCTCGTATCAAATGACGGAATCTGAGAAGATGGACTGCGAAACTGGAGCCTTGGACGTCATCACGGGGACTCAAATCATCGACAGCCAATATCGCATGATCATCGTGGAAGGTCTTGCAGATAAAGGCATGAAATATTTGCATGAGCAGCTTCAACGCAAGGGCCCAAACGACCCGGTAGGATACCGTATGTTCTGCAATGAAGAGCTCCGGTTCACACGACGACTGTACACCGTCTTCGAGATCGATTTGAAGCGGATCAAACTTCGTTATCCGCTCTCTGTGCTCATGAAAACACCGGACATTTACATGCGAGCCAAAGTCTCTGAAAACTGTCACCAGGCTCTAGCTCGTCTCGCAGATATGCGCAAAATCCAGCGTCTTATTGAAGTGAAACACCTGGATCTCTTCCCCACAGCGCAAATGTTGCTCGAAGTTGAGAGCAAGTATGGAGAGAGCATCACACTGGAAGATATCCACGGAACAAGGAATGAATCCTCTAAGTCAGAGACGAATAACACAGGAGAGCGCACTTCTTCACAAGAAGAAATAAAGAACCCAACTGGATCCACTCGACACCATACCAATAAGTTGAAAGCACCCACAGACTCAACAAATGCCAGCTTCGAGCAGTCCCGACGGAATCGAGTAGATAAAAACTTCCTCTTGGAACGCAAAAAGCACGCGGAGCTCCTTCAGGCCGAATATGCCGAGAGAAAACAGGCTGAAATGCTTGAAGACACCTTGCAAGGACCAGTTTATCTCTACAGCGGCCAAAAGCTTCGGGTAAGTATACATCACTGTATCAATTGCCATACTGGGAGCAAACTTACGCTCGTCTCTGCTCTTGTTTAGACCCAAGACATCCTCCAAGATAAGCTGCGCGAACAATTGTCTAAAAATCGTCACGCCACGTACACATACAGTCGTGACTTCCAGTCGCTTGCACTCAGCATGGTCAATCCAGAAGCGCTACGGCAGACTGAAGAACAGGAGAACCGCAAAAAGTGGACGACTCAGCGTGGATTCATCTACCCAGCGCCTCGACAGCCAAGTGAGTACAAGAAACACCCCAACGCTCCCAGTGAAGCTCGCTGCGAAGACCTCAGACAGCCATTTGTTGATAATATCAACCATCCAAAGCCAGTTTCCAGAGACTCGAGCGAACCTGGCAGTAGAAAGTGCCCAGAATTCTCCACATTGCCCTCCAAGGACATGGTATTCGGCGGAACCAACGGAGACGGCACAGTGAATCCCGACTACTTCCGAAGTGTCCATCTGTGCGGCGAAGGCCTCCGTCTCGAGATGGAAGAAGCGCTTAAGAAGGAGCAAGACGAGTGGGAACGTCGACTTGTCGTGGACAAGAAGCAACTCAAGTTCCTCGCCCACGGTAGCATCTGCAGTCAGCCTCGGGATAAACCGTCTCAGCTCGATAAAATCTCCGACATCCTGAGAGGTCCAGCCCATTCCAAGCCTATTCGTATCGTCAAGAACGCCACATTGCCCAGCGGGAAGCGCGTGCCATTGGAAAAGACACCCGTCACGATTCATAACCACGAGAAATACGTTGGCTGCGTTGCTGCCACGTTCGCGAGCACTCTCCGTCCTTCAGACAACAACCAGTTTGTGGCGACTGACGCCTTATCGGGTAAACCACAGGACTTCTTGTTCCCATCAACGTCGAATATCTTGACTCCACCTGTCAAGAAATTTGTTACTCGAAAGGAGATTGTGCCAGTGCGTGAGACCGAGAAGAGGGGACTCATTTGGAGAAACGAGTGAGGGTAAAGAAGGGAATACAAGCAGGTAGTTCTCAACTGTCAATCTGATGTAATGCTTCTTCAAGCAGCGCAATGCGCCCGAGAAGCATTTGGACGATTTGATCGTCTTCTTCCCCTGGAACCACTACGTCTTCTTTTTCCTCAGTGTCTGGGTCGGGCTGCTTTTGCCCAGTGTTCTCCATAGTGATAGGGTCCCTATCTTCATTGCTGCCATTTGAATCCTCTCTTGATTCAGTGACTTGTTCTCGCGTGTCTGTGGGTTCACCTTCCTTGCTCTCAGATGTCGAGAAGAAATCGTTTCCCCATGAATGCACCACTAAACTGACGAGGTTGTCGAGCGTTTTCGTTGTTTCAGTTGGAGTCAATTCCTCTTTCGTGTCCGACGAACTCGAATTTTGAGAACGCTCAGATGCATTGACGTTTGATGGCGGCAAGACCAATTCTGGAGATACATCAGGTCTTACTGGACTTGCTGTCGGTAGAAGTGGAGGCTCTGCTACAGCATCAGCCGCGTCGTGCTCCGATTCTTGGTTCGGTGTCTGCGTTTCTGCTTCCAGCTTCTCAGATGTACCCAAGAGGGGCGACGTGCTAGGAGCGTCCCCGATATCTTCATTCGTCGGCATGACCAATGTATTGTCACGTGGTTCGGATGTCTGTGAGGTGTGTGAATCTACCGACGAGCTGCTCGATCGCAGTCTTTCAGCTGCAATATCTGCAGACGGCAATGCGCCGTGCACGCTTCGATCCACATTTGCTTTCACTAAGCTCACATTTTCGCCGTGTACAGATATCTTCTCTTCTTGTTCATCAACCGGCGATTGCTTTTCGTCTTCCTTTCCATTCACTACTGATGGGTCTTTCTCATCAGCCCTGCCTATCGATGACACCTCCTCAAACCGCCCACTACCATTACCTCGTTCTCTCCCCATGGACTCCTGACTTAATATCGACCTGTTATCAGCACTATCCGAAGCTGTCCCTACCATAAAACCCGGTGACAGCGGAGGTTTCATCCCTAATTGTCTTCGATTAGGGTCTCTACTGCCCGTCGCACCAAGTGACAACCTGAACTCAATAGGCTTTAGTTTTGCCACAGTAGACGAACTTATTCCCGGCGTCGTTGCACCCCACCCGAGACGTCTGCGTACCCTCTCAATAACCTCCTCTGGGTCCTCATTGTCCTCCTCCATCTCCTCTAAATCCACCGATCCCCAGTCCATAGAGACCCAGGACTGCAAAACTTCCAGTGGCCTTGCAGGACTGGATTCTTTCCTAGTTACTTGGCTTGACTTGCTGCTCCAGAGGCCCAAACGCTGTCGCAACTTGCTCTCGATACTGTCGACGCTCTCTCTATCGTCTTCTGCTGGACTATCAGGCTCCTCCTCCGTTTTAGCTTCTAATCTGTCACCCTCTTCATCGCTATCCTCGTTCGGGAAAGCAAAGACGCCACCTGATGCCCACGTAGACGGAGGTGACGGACTGCGCGAATATCGAGGAGATTTGGTCCACCAGAAGTCGCTCTGTTGAGCAGCCGCACGAGCCTCGCGGGGCAGCGGCTTTTCATAGCGGAAGCGTGCGATGTATTTGCCGATCGTCGTTGTCTCGATCACCGGAGGAGGCGACAGTGGCGGCGCAGGGGGCGGCGCCGACTCGTCCACCTCTTTGACCATCGTCTAGCATGAACACTTTTTACTTGCGAACTTAAGACGAACTTAACGAACACAATTTCCTATGAAATTAATTATGGGACAGGGTAAGAATATACCCCGTCAATAGACACCGTGAACTAGCGCCTAAAGATCTCACATGTCAACACAATCGTCAGACTCTTGCGGAGTTTACCCGACACTACACTTTTTACAGTGGACGAGCATAGTTTTATAGTGTCTTTAAACTGTACTAAAGAAGCACATTCGAGAGCTCAGCTTAGTGGAAGCACTGACCACTGATGATCGATTGGATCCAGTCATGCCCAACAGGAATTCGCGAGTAGTAGCTAGGGTATCCGGGCTTCCTGCAGTCGCTTCCCCAGCTGACCATACCAACCAGAACGTCGCCATCCGGGCGCTCAGCGATCAGTGGACCGCCATACCCGCCAATGCAGGAATTCTGCTTACCAATTGGACGCGAACACACCCTGGTATCGTCCACAGTCGTCATCTTGGAGCATTCCTCGTTGCTCATCAATTGAACGTCAGCGCGCTGAAGCTCATGAGCCTTCGTACGTGATCCTTCTCCTGTGGTGGTGTACCAGCCCAAATGGGTGTAAGTCTCATCGTACTTGATATCTGAGCCGTCAGGAGCGGCCAGCGGGATCGGTTTGAAAGAGCTTGGCTTTTCCAGTTGCAGGACAACGTAGTCGTACGAGTATTCTTCATAATCTGTTATGTTGGGGTGGCTCAGAATGGCTACGACTTTGATCAGCTCACCGTCTTCCGTTCCATTGTTGTAGTGCGAGCCGATTGAAGCATATCGAATGTCAGTGCCAATTGTGGACCCTCCCGTTAAGAGGTGAGTTGGAGAGATGAGGATGGCAGCAGCAGAGTTGTCGTTGGTTGCGTTGGAACGCAGACTGGCGACATACGTCTTCGTGCCTTTAGGGACTGTAGTGGTGCCGGTCTTCAACGAGGTCGCGATCGCATCGCTAGAGAGAGTACTCGGTACGAGGTCGCTTACCGAGATGTTGGAGTTACTGGAACCATCCTGAGCATTTGTGGCGAGAGATGACAATGTCATCGCAACGGAGGTGACGCACACAAATGTGGACACAAGTTTCATGATGGCGCGGGTGGACAGCTACTGTAGATGGTAGCAGCAATACTCTGACAGGAAAAGCTGAAATGATCAAAATGATCTGCGGTGGCCAGTGCATAGAGTTGATGCAAGATACAGCACGTCACTTGATAACAAAACCTATGTAATATTTGTCCTCATTTTGTACGATAACGCTCTTGGTGATTGCATCATGTGTGATCTTGCGATTTGCATTTCCTATTACTTCAAAGCTTTTTTCTTAAACGACCGGTTTGCTGTTTGAAATTCCACCGTTTGCTCTGCTTTTCAGGGACTGCAGTAGGTTCGAATCTACCACAAAAAAAACTATCCTGGTGCATTTGTATTCACTAATCCATTGTTTATGACACACGACACATAGCCAATACTTGTACACTTCCGAAGCGTGTGGTGCACAACAGAATGCTTTGCACTTGCTCCAATTTGCTCCTGCAAACTATAAGTTGACTCGAACTTCGTATGTGGACAGATCTCTCGATTGCTGATGAGCCCAATCGTTTGAGTTGCGCACTTGATCCATTATCATTATCCTTGCTGTGATTGCCCACACGATGAGTCTGACCAACTTACCCACCACGGCACGTCACTTCGGATTCAGTCGGCAAAGTTGAATATCGAAAATTGCGCGTGTCAAAATGAAGCCCATCAACGCTATCGCTATCCCCTCCGCCGTAATGGCCGCCATTGCTTCACCAATCGGCGCCTATCAAGGTCACGTTGAGCGCGAGCTGATTCTAAGCGGAGAAATTGTCCCGAGCGGAACCAAGACATACGTTGCTAACATTCGTCTCCACCAGGATTCCGACAGCGCCTGCGGTGGCTCCCTCATCTCGCCTACCCACGTTCTCACCGCGTCACACTGCACCGTGAATGCCCCACGCTGGGTGACGATTGGTGAGCACTACCGCAATGGCACTGAAGTCGGAGAACTGATCAAAATCGTGTCGATGATGAACCACCCGAACTACTCGGAAAGTATCCCAAACTCTGACGACTTTATGGTTTTGGAACTGGAAAGACCCAGTAAGTTCAAACCAGTGAAACTTGCTGCCGCTGATGATTCCGACTTCAAACCGGGCACAATGGCGACCACGATGGGGTGGGGAACAAACGCCGATACGAACGGCAACTTCTCGTATGAGTTGCAGCGAGTTGATGTCCCCTTGGTGAGCGATGAAGCATGCGCAGCATATGCCACAGTCGACTCGACTATGGTGTGCGCTGGAGGCGTTGCGAATCATGATTCGTGCGAGGGTGACTCCGGTGGTCCGCTCATCGTTGAGTCTGTCGATGGTGAGGATGTGCTGGTCGGTGTGGTAAGCTGGGCAAAGGACGAATCGTGTGGGCGTGAAGGTTTCTACGGTATCTACTCTCGAGTGTCAAGTGCCCGGAATTGGATCGACTCGATCACAAGTGGCTCGTGTCTCCCCTAGTATTGACAAATTGACACAATATTATTGTGTCAATTCTAGGGCAAATCAAGTTAAAACGAGCTGAAATGATATCACCATTCCCTCCAAATTGTGGCCGAGCCAAATCCCAGGTAGACATCACTTGATGAAGTTCCAGGCGCTTACGCTACTCCGACTGCTGTTGCACGTATGTGCAGCATTGTTACTGACGTCCCGCAGTTCCCAATTAGGCTCTGCATTGCACCCTTTCCAGCGCGCTGTTGCCAACGACTGGGTGCGTCTGCTGTTCTACGTGGACGTGGCCAAGCAGATCGCGCCGGATGAAACGACACTCGAGACGTTGCCCCATTTCCTCCTTGAGGTGGAGGAGGAGATCGTAGCCAACGTGGACGACGAATTCTTCGCTGGAGGATTCGCAGCCCGGGCCTCGGCACTGCCAGTCGGCGCGCTTTTTACAATTGAGGAGACGCGACAGCATCTACATGGTGCTGTGCACAACTATTTCCAACTGTCGGACGTGGCGCTGGACTCGTATTTGGTATATGGTAACGAGACGCAGCTGTTGTTGCCTCCTCCACTGCTCACAGTGCGCTCAGATATGGGCGAGGACCCCGTGGATGCATTCTACAACATCACGAATGCTTCGACTAGCGAGCAGTGGCCAGCAGCTCTGCGCATGGGGAACGATGCTCCACGACAACAGGAGACGAGAAGGTTCTTCGATGAGCTGGACGCCATGGAACTCAAATTGGTAGTGGGAATGAAGAGGAAAGAGAAAGTAGATGGGATGGAAGAGAAACTTTACCAGTGGACGGTGGTCATGCGCTACGATCTACTGAATCAAGGTCATTTAGAGGTGACGATGAACTATGACCTTGTTCACGTGCCACTGTTGGAGGGTAAAAAGAGAGGTGAAGGGGAGGATATGCCACCGGTGCTACTAGACACAAGTGTCATGTTCAACTGGGTCACGCTGATGGTGATTGGTCTGTACCAGGTCAGTAGGATATGCATTAGTACTGTAAGAAGTGAAAGTGAAGTTTACGAATTGTTTGTTCTGTGTGTATTGCAGGCAGTCGAGTTCTCGCTGAAGTGGACTGAGGTAAAGACTATTGCTGCTCAGCATCCAGATCATTCTCAACGTGTTGGCAAACACCCAAACACGCTTGCACTGTGGAAAGAAGCAGCCAAAGATTTTTGGTTTTGGCTTGTTCTAGCTGTCAACGTCGCGACAGTGGTGTGCTTGTTGGCTACATGGCGTCACGCTTACCGACTCTCGTTGAATGACGCGCTATGCTTCACATTTGCCTCCTGCTGCGCGCTGCAATGGGGAAGCCTCGTGCGATATTTGCAAATGAACACACGGTTTCACATTCTCGGACTCACTTTGCGGCGTGGCTTACCACGAGTGATGCAGTTTCTCGTCGGTGTTTTGCCCATCTTCGTTGGGTTTGTACTGTTTGGAACAGTCATGTTCGGGGCCAAGGTGCCTCGATTCCAGAGCGCGAGCTCCACGGCCACCACACTTTTTTCTGTGGCGAACGGTGACGAAATCCACGATACATTCAATGATGTCGCGTATACTCCGTGGATCGGGCAGATCTACGTGTATAGCTACATGATTCTGTTCAGCTACGTTGTCCTGATGGTGTGCATTGGTATTATCGAGGACGCCTTCTTCTCTGCTGTATTTCCAGCGTCATGGCCCACGCTCGATAGAACTCAGCACGAAGGCCAACGGGCTCCTGGAGTAGGACATCACCATCATTAACCAGTGCACTCAACTGATCGACTTATGAGCAGATATTATGCCTTGCTTCTGCGAACCAGGGGTTCGCTTGCTTACCCAGGGTTTCTGACTTGAAGCTGTATTAACTTTTCGTTGAGACTCGACTCCTACATTTTCGTCAATTTTAATGTGGCAATCTGCGTTTCGAAGTCTATGATAGGCCAAAATTTGCGTAATTTGCACACGTCCAGCGTTTTGATCCGATTCGGCGACTGACTCTAGGGATTCCATCCTTTATCAATCATGGCGGACACCCCTGCGGAACGGGGCGTCGATGGTATACGCGGGCGCTACAAGAAGACAGACGCGGCCGCAGACATGGAGAGCGGTGCCGGCAGCAGCCCCAGTGTGAGCAGCACCTTCTCTAGCTCCACCACAGTCGCAGATGACGACGACTTCTCGGTGCCATCGACCCTGGAAAAGGAGAAGAAGGCGTCAACTGGTACAGTCGCGCGCTCTAACGTACAGGCCGTGATCCACTGGTGGAAGTCCATGCGACTACAGTTCGGCGACGGCCTGTTGCTACAGATCTTCTTTGTGTACTTCACCCAGGGTATCCGCAGCACGCTCTGCTCCCTGGGCACCAGCTACTACTTGAACGAGACGTTGGCATTGCACCCAGCACAGTCCGAGTCGCTGCGTGCCACCGCCGCCATCCCATGGATCATCAAACCGCTGTATGGAATGCTGTCCGACAGCGTCCCCATCTGGGGCACGCGCCGTAAGTCCTACCTGCTCATCTTCAGCGCCATCTCGGCCGCCGCCTACTTCGTGCTCTCCATGCCGGGCCTCATCACGACCTACGAGAGTGCTTTGGTGGCGCTTGTGGTCGCCAGTCTCGGTATCGCCTTCTGCGATGTGGTTATCGATGGAAAAGTCGTAGAAGCTGCACGCAGCGAGCGCGAGGACATGGCTGGCAACCTGCAGACGCTGTCGTGGATCTCGCTGTCGGTAGGGTCTGTGATGGGATCGATGGTGTCGGGTTATGCACTCAACACATTCGGCCCACTAGGCGTGTTCTTCATCTCCGCAGTGGGTCCACTGTGCGTAGTGTTGATCTCCATCAAGATCCCAGAGGAGAAATATGTGCCGCAAGGAGACATCGGCTTCTTCCAAACTGTGCAAGATCAATGCCGCGCTCTAGCGTCGGTGGTAGTAGACCCCATCTGCTGGCGTCCCATGTTGTGGATCTTCCTGTCTAACGCGCTACCACCAAGTGTGGGCGAGGCCATGTTCAGCTTCAAGACGGCCGAGTTGGGCTTCTCCAAGTCCTTCCTGGGCTTCATCTCCACGGTCGGCAGCTTCACTCTATTGGGCACCACTGCGCTCTACAATGCCTACTTCCGTGATATGCCCTTCCGTCGCATGTTCTTTCGCATTCAACTGGCCTCAGCCTGCGTTTCATTCGCCGAGTTTGTGCTAGTGTCGCGTCTGAATGTACCCTTTGGTATTAGCGACCAGTTCTTCATCTTTGGAGACGAGATCCTCTCGGACGTCGTGGCTCGCCTCAAGCACATGCCGTCGCTCGTGCTCTGTGCCAAGATCTGCCCTCCAGGCATTGAAGGCACCATGTTCGCGCTGCTCATGTCCATCTACAATTTCTCGTGGTCTGTGGCCTCATACGGCGGCTCCTGGCTGTGCAATTACCTACAGATCTCCAAGACCAACTTCACGGGTCTCGCTGCTGCCGTCATTATTCGCAGCGTGGCCAAGGTTGTGCCGCTTTTTCTACTGTTTATGGTGCCAGCGACTACTTCCATCAGCAGCTCGTCGCTGGCGTCCAAAGCCAAGTCAAAGGCGGCGCAAGGCAGGAAACAATGCGAGAGCAGCGACAATGACGGAGCTGCCATCGACCTCAAGGTGCAGGCGTAAGAGAAACAGTAGCTAGATACATGTAAATGCGTGTGCTAATTCCAATGCAGCAGTATGTTGAGCCCCTGGATCTTGGCGATAGTGGTGCTTGCAGCGCGAGAAAGCTTTGCTGCAAAACTAGCGGAATGTGTACCGTCAGCATTGTCGCATGATAATCAAGCCGTCGCATAGTGTGGGTTAATTTTACTCTTCATTCTATCTCTCACAGGTTACTAATATTGAATTTCCAAACCGTATACGACTCCTCCTTTTGTCCTGTCTCAAGTAATTCAATCTAAGAATTGATAAGATTTCACGTCGTATATCAGGCTTTCAAAAGTATCACTGAAAGGCAACTTCTAGCCAACGACTTCGAGGTCTTATCGGTCATTCTGCAATCTTCCCTCTCGAGCTCAAGCACCCCCCCCCAAGACACTTCAAGCCACTCCATAATTGAGATGCTGAACCTGTATCCGCCCGCGAACCACGCCGTGTACAATGGTGCCACGCTCAACTTCGCCCCCGAGATCGACCAAGCTTGTCAGGCCATCCACGACGCGTGCAAGGGCCTGGGCACGGATGAGGAGGGTCTCATCGCCGCACTTGGCACCAAATCTGCTGACAAACGTTATCTTATTTCAGTGCGTTACAAAGAGCTCTTCGGCAAGGACTTGAAGAAGGTGCTCAAGTCCGAGACATCGGGCGACTTCGGCCACCTCCTGCAGCTCATCGCGCAACCGTTGCCCGAAGCCGAGGCCGCTATTCTCCGCAAGGCCACGAAGGGCCTGGGCACGAAGGAAAAGCTCATCTACCCCATCGTTATGGGTCGCACAAATGTAGAAATTGGTATCCTTAAGAAGACGTACTACGACAAGTATGGTAAGGACCTGGGCTCCGTCATGGACAGCGAGCTGAGCGGTGACCTGAAGAAAGCTGTTCTGGCGTCGCTACAGGCGCCTTTAGAGCAGTTTGATCCGGTATTCCACACCACACAGAAGGCGGAGGAAGATGCCGAGGCTCTATATAAGGCTGGAGAGGGTCGTATGGGTACGAAGGAACACGAGTTCATCAATATCCTGGTGACAAGCCCACCCCAGCATTTACGCGCTATCAACGCCGCCTACGAGCAAAAACACAAGCACGGTATCGTCCACGCGGTCAAGAAGGAATTTGGCGGTGACGCTGAGGACGCGTTGTTATTCCTGGTGCGTATGGCGCTGGAGCCACTCATTCTACTGTCGGAGCTGTTCGAGAGCACGATGAAGGGCTTCGGCACGGACGAGAAGGCTCTGAGCGCGGCGCTTGTGCGCTACCACCTAGTGTTGCGTGACATCCGACCTGTGTACAAGAAAACGTATGGAAAGGATCTGCGTGATCGTATCCAGGGTGAAGTCAGCGGAGACTACGGAAAACTCGTGCTGGCCGTTTATGATTCTCCTGCCCATTAACCTCGTCGATTTGAAGAAAAAGTGTTATGCAAATCAAATTGTACGAGCTAGTGTTACAGCGTAATCTGCTACTGTAATCGTGACAAAAGAACGCGATATTTCACTAACCCAACATCCGAAAACTTCTGGACAAAAAGTAGGGCGATTTGGGTAGGCATCATCACTGTATAATCTTTTTTTTTTCAGACCAGCAGTACAGTGGACCGATTCCCGAAGCTCAGATTGCTATCACAGACCTAAATCTTGGACGCCATCTCGGCGATCTGAGCTGCGGGGAAATCGGTCCAGTACCAAGCATCTCCTGCAACCACAGAATTCGCGAAACCAGCGTCTTGTATCGCTCTGCACTTATTTTTCTTTACAATCATATCTAATGTTTATTTAATACTAGCCGAGCGCCGCCGCTACGCGGCGGTAATTTATGTTAGGTCGCAGTTGCTCAATCCTTTCCCGCCTTCGCTTCGCTTCGGCGGGATTATACATACCCCTTTTTTAAGCCCATTTGATTATCGAATATTGCCTTTACCCATTCGCAAAATCTGCAGCCCATGTATTAATGTGTTTTTTTGTGTGTTTTAACCATGATTTGGTCATGTTTGTAAAATAAAATTCCGGTTTTTAAGATACTGAGTTTTTGGCCACTCATCTTTCCGCCACGCGTCGCGAGAAGCTTGCCGCTCCCCTCTTCGGCTCTTCGGTCTCACGATCTCCACGCCTGTTGCCACGCTCAGCCAGTTTCGCCACGTGCCTCCCCTCTCCCCCCGTCCATTCCCCTGCGCTGTTTGGCGGCTGGTACGTGCACATTTCGGCTCCGTTATAACGCTCATAACGTCTCCAACGTGCCGTTTGTTTGAATTTGTTTTAGGTTTGGCTTTGCAGTCCCTTCTTCCACTGTTCGTCAAACGACTTTCCCTTCGTCGCGCCCAGCCTGCTCTCCACGTGTGAAGGCGCCAAAAGTGTGCTGATCTGTTGATCACAGGCAAAACAAATTTAATCGATCTACAGCGATAACTTCCCGCCCAAGACCTCAACTGTGTTTCACGTTAGATCCAGTGAAGGGTGAGCATACACGTGCATTTCCCTACCATATTTCGACTTTACCCGTGTTTCAGATAAGGACTCGCGTTCTTGCAAACCGTAGCTTGCTAAAGACCTGAAGGCGGAAAGCAGAAGTTTCTTCAATTGTCGTGCGAACTTACTCAGTGTCAACTGCTTTGATGTTACGATGAATATGCTAACACGTGTTGGATTATGGTATGGTTATGGTTTTGAATATGCTTTGTTATTAGAAGTGCCATGGTTCGAACCAAAAACACTGCCAGGATTTTGTGGTGGAGTGGGATTCGCAAAATCGCGTTGCGATCCACTCAGACACACAGTGCCCTGGACTGCCGACTGACGGAG